CGTGCCCGAGACACTCTGCATAACATGACCCTTAGTAAATCTGTATAACACTCGAGAATAATGAATAACAGTCGAAATTAATTTAAAACATTCTAGATATTTTGCCAGAGTAGCAAGATTGTCCTGAAATTAACAACTGTTTTATATGACAATAAATAAAGTGTGATTTGATTCGATATATATATTTATAAAAAATTTTAATATCTACTAACACAAATACAAAAATTTTAGACCACTTTAACAATATTCGATTAGGCAACAAAATTTGACAGTTCATTGAATCCAGATTTGCCAGTACTGTGTGAGCATGTTATAACTTACATTCGATTGTTGTAAAGTGTAAATAAAGTATGATTCAAGCATATCACATATACATAATGTGTATTATTATGTATCCGATGTATTACATCAAAATATATAGATCTCAAATCGAAAAGTTGTGTGATTTTGCTACGACTTTGCTATAAAATATTTGTGTTAGAGTGGCAACCACAACACTTGTCGACAGATATTTCAGCTGTTTTTGACAGCTCTGCAGATCAAAACAAAAATAGACAAAAATTTCTGTTGACTGATTAAAAGTGAGTTAAATGTGATAAATCCAGTTTGGTTTACATAATTAAAAATAATTTGTTTAAATTAAATTTTATAAAAGTAACATCATCATGGGTGGTTGGGTATTGGAAGTCTGCAAGATGGCAATGTACATGACTTTTCCAGTAGCGTTGTTCCACATTTTCAATCAACCGGACTATTTTGAAGAATGGGTCACTAAAAAGAAGCGCGAGCTGTATCCTCCAGAAAATTTAAGTCACCGCGCAGAGATCGAAGAGGCAATTCGTGCTGTGCGTGAAAAACGTAATTTACAAATGATGAAAGCCTTTGATGAAATTGAACAAAAGTCTAAATAGTGTATGAACTATTGAACAGCATTTTATATAATATTCTTTTTGTTTTTAAGTAATGTAAATATTTAAGATTAAACTTGTTAAAACAAAATGATCTTGTGGTGATTTTAAATGCCGAAATAAAACTTCTTTAAACATAAACATAAATTGTATGTAAAGGATATGAATTTTTGGGTTGAATAGCGTTTGAAGTGTTTATCTGTTATATATATTTTTTTAATTACATTTAGGTCGATATAGCTACTCATAACATTTAAATATGATTAAAGCATTATTGGTTTCGTTTGGTTCCTAAAATCTAATTTAAACAATTTTTTAAAATGTGAAAATAGTTATTTAGTGCAGTTGACGTAGAAATAAACAAATTGTAGTAGTAATATTTTTTTCCACATAATGACATTTTAAATATAATAAATATTTATTTTGCATTATACATTTTCTTAAAACTTAGTGCTATTTATATATGATATACGTTAAAAAAAATATAAGTTAACTATAGCTTTTGTGCACATACAGTAGAGTTGCATATATCTTTGGGCTACAATAACAACATCAATAACGTTTACTTAGTTATCTAGGTATGCCGGATTGGATTTAATATATTAATTTTGCAGATTTTAATAGTCTTATATTATAAATATATATTAAATATATGTTAATATATTATAAATAGAACTAGAATGGCATTAGGGTTTAAGTCAGAGTTTGAAATTGCTTAACTATTTTTAAGCAATTATTTTTGATTACACAAATAAACGCATAAATATTTAAGCTATGAAAGATTATTCTGTTAAGAAACTTTCGTATGTAACAAGTAACAGTTTACAAGAATGACACATGCATTCCTCGCTCAGCTAAAACTGTATTACCACAATTGAGATCAGCCAATTGCTAGCAGTTACCTGTCACGTATAAATCTGTGCCTTAAGTGCAGCTCTACCTCCCATGATGTCGTCCATCTCTTTTTATGTCCCAATGCACACACTAACTTGAGTCCAATCGAGTAGTATACATTTGTGTTAGCAAATCCCTTATTATGACTGTGTTGAGCAGTCGTTAAGAGCATTCTGACCATGTCTGATTGGGCTAGGTCTCAAAGCTTATTATACGCGGCCAAGGAGGACTCACGTTTGAAATGGCCAACGAAGTAAGTAAATCTTTTAAAAGTAGTATCTTTTGCGTATACTATAATATTAATCTATTTAGCATGACGATTTATAGTGGAGTTATTACCATCGAAAGTAATACAGTGTTCAATAATAAGTTAATATTTTTGTTTAAATATATTTAAATATATGTTAACATGGAAATTATACAATATAAAATGTATTTTGATAATATAAAAGACTATATAAAAATTGTGCATACAATAAATATAATTCATACATACATATATAAGTAAAAAATACATCATTATAAATAATTCAACCATTTTGTTTTATATAAAAAGTTAAAAATGCATAAACACGGAAGCAATGAAGTGTAAATATATAGTTGCCAATGTATTATTCAGTTAATATAATATAAACCGTGCAACGGTTGTGTATATATTTGTCTAATGAAACATGAAAGGATGAAACTAAAAGGATGTTTCACCCGGATAATCGCTTATTAGTATTTTCTTAGTTACTATGTAGCTTTGAGTGTTGTCAATATTTTCCTTATTTGTTAAATTTGATGTGGTTGCTGTTGTTTGCGTTTTGGTTGATGTGGAAGTTGCGATTTTATTAGCTGTACGTTTGCGTGCATTGTTAAGTATGACAAATGGGTTTGTAGAAATTGAACCTATTCGTTCATTGCATACTTCAGACATAGAATCTATATCTGTTTCCATAATATTTGAATTATTAACTTTAAGTTCTGTGGAATTACTATTTCTATCCGGCTCATTTCCATCCAAACAGTACAATAAGCTGGCACTTAACTGTGATTCATTTAAGTCCTCGATTTCTTGTGTCGAGCCGAAATCATCAGGTTGACTAAAAAAGGACGAATCAACTGGACTGGCAGTGAGTACACTACGACTTAGCAGATATTCTCTGCAAATTAACGTTATTAGTTAAATTATGTTATAAGTAATCAATGATTTATGTATTATTAAATGTTAAAACTTACTTGAAATTATTGGACAACGCATCAGCATCTAAAGAGGAACAGTTATTTTCGTCAGTTAAATTGTTGCTACCTCTTGCTGCTGTATCAGCAATGTTCAATGAGCCTTGTTGTATAAAGCTTTGATTTTCCAACAATAGTTGTTTGCGACGCAATATGTCAGAGTAACAACCCGCAGAGACTGCATCTTCATTGTGTAAATTTATATGGTGTGTCTCCATTTTTTCACAGTCTGTAGAATCGTCTTCATCTTGCTCTCGGAAACTTGACAAATCCGTTTGACAAATTGTTTGGTTTTGATCTGAGTTCCCCAAATTGGTCAACACCATAACGGGCTTACGAGAACGTGGTGTCATTATTGACTCCTGCAAAATATAACAGAGTATTGGTTTGTTATACATTTTCATACGAATGGATATATGCACAAACATTTACATAAAACATTGAAATTGAACACACACAAAACAAAATATAAAACATTTTTGGTCATGAGAATAAACAATATTTACAAAACACAAAAATTGGTATAATATATATATAGTTTGCTGCGCCGATTCTTACGATTTTAGTATAACTTCAAACTCCTACTGCACTTACTTGCATTGCTTTTGGCATACGTTGGGTTGATTTAGTTATTGGCGACATTGAACGTCTTCCTAAAAACATTGAAGGTGTGCTAGTCATCAAATCTATATTACGATGTATCAGGTTTTGTTGTGAGTGTAGAAAACTGGCACTGCAACCGGGCAATTCACTGCTGGTACTAGTCGTACTTGCTAGTTCATTCTTAACGTCGGTTTCAGATTCAATTTCACTGTCAGAGTCTAGATGATCATTTGGATTTTCTTCAAATGTATCATCATCCAGTTCATCATCTATGTCGTCTAATAAATTTTTACGATCTGAACGTTCGATATCACCGGCTGTTTTGCGCAGAGTTGCTGAAACGCTACGCACTAACCTCCTAGTCGGATCTGGTGTACTGAAAAATTTAAGATTACCCATGCTTACACCTTTAATAAGTTTGCGTTTAAATGATAAACCAGTTTTGGATATAGCCGACATATTTGTTGTTGACTCTGTAATTTTGTCCGGCAGAATCCGACTCAGATTTGGTTCTGATTTGTAGCGTGATTTTAAATCCATATTGTTTTGTTTTGCAGGTGTGCAAGGATTAGAGATTTCTTCCACTGTTAACAAGCAAGCATCATCCCAAGCAACAGTTTTTCGTGGATTCGCATTATTTGTGTCATTTATATTACTACTAATCAACTGTTTCGCTGCTTCGGAAATAAGTTTAAGTGGCGTTGCACAACAATTCATGTCAGTAAAGAGTTCATTTTCAGTTTGAACACCAGTTACGGATGTGTAGGATGCACTTAATGCCTTTGTACCAGGTAGTTCATTTGATGTTTGACGACTGACGGGCGCTGATATGGAGATGGTTGGTATTGAATAATCACTGCTACATGTTGACAAAGTATCAATTCCGTCAGCGGAGTTTTTTGAAAAACCATTTAAATTTGTATGCGATGATGAAGAATCAATGGGTTTTATCAGCGAATGAGTATTAATAGCATGCGTAAAATTAGTACTACTGTTGCATGTAGATGAAGCAGTGCTTGCTGCAGGTTTCATTTCCGCTGCAGGACTTTGAAATAGCACACGTAATTTTGGATTTTTATTGCTTGAAATATTTGGTGTCTAGTAAATGAGAATTAGTAACACAAACAGAAATTTAAAGTTTTAAACAAACATCAACAACATAAAACCATGCAAAAGAGCTAAAATCTTCACATACCTCAAGTATTGTAGAAGTTGGATTTGTGCGTTTTGGGGTGCGATACATTGCTTTATGGAAAATATGCTTTTTAATAGATTCACCTAAAGATTTAGCACTACGCCCAGCGTCAGAATTTTTAATACGATTCATTACTACCAATTGCAGTGGCGTTCCTGTTGAGTGAATTTGTTATTATATGTTCTACGTAAATACAAGATATTGGCACACTTACCTTGTCCATTTTGTCTATTAAATTGTTTAATAAGTCTACGTTTCTTTGAAGATTCAGGTAGACTTTGTATGTGTGCATAGAGTTGCGCTAATTCTGTATCAGTTGTGTTAGTTGTGTGAGCAGCAAGTGTTTTCTCACGATCCACAAATGTATAGACTGTTTCAACAGCTGAAATATCCGAAATGGATTCGTCAAGTGTTAGTTCGGGTGACATAGTTTTTTTTCGTTTACGCTCCAAGAAATATGCTTTTATGTCAGTTGATAATTTCGCCGGCATTTCAAATATTTTTGTACCTTTCGTGACCATATAAGCAATAATACTAGACATTTTCTTTGATAGATAATGTAAGGCTTCGGGTGGCATATTCCTTGGACATATTAGATGTGGTGCAAATAAGGTTGCTAAGTTTTCTGCACACATCTTGTTTAAGTGTTCCTGTTGTGCAGCAGCGTAAAGCAAATCAATTATATGCATCAGAAGTTGTCGATTATCATAGGGTAGAAGTAATAAGAGAAGCTGAATTGAATTCAATAAATGCTCTTCGCGTTTCTGATGTTCTGTGTTTAGTCCTTTAAAGGTATTGCTCGTTGATGCCATATAACTTGCTCCGATACAAAGTGGAGCAAGTTGTAAGTGTGCGGGATAGTGTGCATCAGTTAATACCGGTTCAGGCAATTCAGCCAAATAACCTTTAAAAACTGTGGCACAATCGTGTGCAGAATAACTACTGCATTCCAATTCTAACGCTTTGTTACTTTGTATTTGTATCCGTAACTCATTTTGTCTTGATACAGAACCAGTCTTACGAAATATACCTTCCTGTGTTATATCTGTAAATGAAACCATAACAATGTCTATATATTAGCATACAATTTTCTATACAAACTTTTTTCAAGCAATAAGAACTCTTTTATTTCCTTCAAGTGGAATAAAAATCCAGCATCAATTTGCTGGTGTAGACCTTCTGTAGGACTGCCACCAGAACTGTTGGAGCCTTTTGTCGTTGTTGAACATACCGCAGATAGATGATGTCTCTGCTTCTTTGATATACGGTTCCACTTTTTCCATTTTCCTTTGTCTTCATAAACGATTTCATGGCATGGCAAATCAAATCTGTATAATAAAGGAAGTAAACTTTTATTTGCATATAACCAAACGGCAGGTGTTTATCTTACTCATTTAGTTCCAATTCAAATGACAAGTGCATGCGCACAAGCGATCTATATTTCTCAAAATTCGATTCGCGCATATGCAATGCAATTTCTTCATCTGACAAGTCATTTATATTTAAATAATTAAAATCCATTTTCATATATTTCTCCTTCCTAAAATAGAAATTTCACGCGACGCACCGTATAAATGTATGTAGTATACTTTTAACATCTGAGGGTATCAGTTTATATATCAAATTACAAACACTTATGGTTCACAACTGTTTAACATTTTAATTGTGATATAATTGAATTTCTTGCCAATTTAATAAATTATAAACTTGGGCGTATTTCTCAATTAGAAACAGCAACAACATGCAAGGACTAGTAAAATGCTGGCCAACTGCTGATTTTCGAAAAATATTGTCTTTTACTAACCGGTCACAGTTTGAGTGCCAGTGTAATATTGGTTATTTTGAATATTATCGTAAATACAGATATGCATTTCTAAACTATATTATCTATATGCCATATCTATTTTATTAAAAATATATGAAATAATATTAATACATCTAAATCATTTTAAGTAAAAATACTGTACTGTATCAACGAAAAAATACACGCTGTAATGAACAACGATAAAGCAATGACAGGTCTAAATACAATAATAAAATTGGTTGAATATCTAATAATAATATCAAAGGACAGACAGAGTAATATTTGCTGACGGGAAAATAATATATAATTCAACTTATATTATAAGTTGAATTATAAAATCAATTATACGCAATCATATGTGAGTGGTGAGAGTTGCTGAGAAGTATTT